CGCCGAGTCCCGCCTCCCCGCCGAGCTCCGCGAGCGTGCAGGTGACAGCCGGTGCCTGGCGCCTGGAAGGAGAGGGGACACCCGAAGCGGCGTCTGCGGGGTCCGGGCCCCCGGGGGGGAGCGGGACGCCGCCTCTCGGCTCCCCTCGGGCCGCGGCTCCCGGAGTCCCGCCCTCCCCGCGCCGGGTCCTGCCCCGCCGCCCGGAGCTCCTGCTCTGAACTCAAGTGCCGCGACCCTAGCGGCGGTCGCTGCGTCAGGACATGTATCACTTCCAGCTTCACAGAGCCCGGCGAGGCAGCCTCCTTAACCCCATTTTCCTGATGAGCAAACTGAGACGCAGAGAGGTCGGTGGCAGCCAGGACTCGAACCCGGTTTGAGTACAAATCCTACTGCCGAATCCCACCTCCTCGGCCCCCCTGCAAGTTCCCAGCGCCCTCTTGTCCGGTTTGCACGAGTCCTGTGACCAGAGAGCTCCAGCATACACACAGCACGCGGTGTGTGACTGCGGCGCGTAACCTGGTCCCAAGACCCCCGTCCCCTCCCTCATTCCCGTCGTTTAACTTGCTCTTCCTTTTCTCCTCTCCTCGCCTCTTCCTTCTAATCCCTGTCGGCTCCAGCTCTGGGACACCCCTTGGGAAGCCCTTCCCGGAAGCTGCGGTGGCCTTGGCCTCGCCACCGGCCTGAGGCCCCCCTCGCCCTCGGTGTGTCTGTGGCGCCTTCTGCAGGTGACCAAGGGCTGATGCAGGCCTGCCGCGGGACAGGCCAACTGCGTGGGGCGTGCAACCGCCAAGTGGGCCTTACCCCCTAGGCTTATCCTTAAAGGGCTCCGTTGACTCTAGTCCTCAGCCTCGGTACCCACGGGAGACCTCCACATTCGTACACGCACAACTCTTCTGAGGCGACTTAGGTCGGGCGTCGGATGGCCTGATGCCCAAGAGAAACAACTTCTCAGGGGAAGAGAGATTTCCGATCACTAGCTCAGTCTCCATCTGTTGCAGAGGGAGAAACTGAGACTCCAGAGCAGAAATGCTTTGCCCCAAGGCCACACAGCAGGAAAGGAGCCGAGCCGTGAGGGGACCTCCTGCCTGCCGGCCTGGCTCAGCACCCTGGCCTTCTCACCCCACGTGGGTGGGGGCAAGGCTGAAGAGCTCCCTGCCACCCTTCCTCCTCCTTCAGCCACCCTGGCGACCTAGGGGTGACCCAGATGGACTAAGGCTGTCTTGGGTCTGTGGGGGTGGGGATGGGGGTGGCATCTTTCCCAGGGATGTGGGAAGGAGAAACCTGGCAGAAGGGAAGAAGGAAACAGAGAAAGGTGAAAAAGATCGGAGTCTAAGAAGGGAACGCAGGGTCTTAGGTTGGAGGGAGAGGACAGGCTTCCTTCAGGGTCTCTCTTGAGTAGGGTGCCCCTATGTCACTCAAACTGAAACACCTTTGGGAGTGAACGGGGTGCTAACCGCCTCCCCCCTGGCCAGGACAACAGGCATAACCAAGACACCAGACAGCAGATGTAAACCGGGACCAGGCCATATGGTCACTTTATCTCTGAGCCCTGGATGTTAGGGCCACATCTGTGGTGACTTCTCTTAGCATCACCTCAGCTCTAGACCTCAACTTCCAGCTGTGCCCCTTCACGCCATCAAGGCACTTGCAGGCATGTCCAGTTCAACAGTCACTTGAGCTTGGACCTCTTTTATTTTCTATCCCAGCTAAGGACATCACCTGGTCCTCCGACCTGGAAATCTTCCCCCTAACCATTACGTCCAACTAGTCGCCAAGTCCTGGCAATTCCGCTTTCTCCGTGTGTCATGGAGCCCCTGCCTCCTCTTTGGTGGAGCCACTGTCCCAGCTGGCTTCAGTTCCTCCTCATATTTTCTCTCCCCCAGGCCACCCTTCATATTTCATACCAACACCCTGTAACCCTGGATTTCAGCTGCCTTTAGAAGAACACAGGTGTGAGACATCAGGTAAATCCACCCAACCAGACGGGCCCCACTCCTCACTGTTGTAGAATGTTTCAGAGCCTCCCCAAGGCTTCCTAACTGTAGGGAAATCTCCAGGGACCTGACATGAGTGCTCAGACACATACATCCCTTGATTTACTTGAGCCCCAGGAGCCCTGTAGGAAGGAACTTGGTCTCACCTGGAGTCAGAAACATGTAGATCTTTCCTTGGACAGAGACGCTGGGGGAACGCTGGCAGGAAGGAGAGCCAGGAAAGCACCACGAGGGAGGAAGAGAGGCCAGAGCGAGCAGCTGGTGTGGAAGTGAGGGAGCCAGGGGCCTGGGAGGTGTGAGAGGCCGGGCCCGCGCTTCCTCCTCTGAGAGTCTGTGGGGGCAGGAGGGCTGCAGGGCAGAAGAACAAGCTGGGCACTGGGATCCCAGCGGCTCTGCTGCGGACTCCATGCTGACAGGGTTGCTGGTGACAAGGACAAGGTGGTTCCCTACTGGCTGAGGGGAGGAGGAGACGAGAGGTCCGTGGTCTGGAGGGACAGGGAGGGGCCACAGTCCTGGCAGAGGCCCACTGTTGGCCCAGAAGCCAGGCTGTGGTAGAGGTTGGTCAAGCTGCCCATGAGTGGCGCAGGATGGTCAATGGAGTAGAAGGACGGCGAAAGCTGTCCCACCCCACCTGTAGGACAGATGGCCTTTTCTAGACCCACACATCGGGAGAGGCCAGGGGACATTTGGGTAAGCCCGTCTGGGAATTCTAGGGAATATTGTATTTAACTTTTTATTTCAGAAAATTCTAAATGTAAACATAAGTAGACACAATAGCATTTTGAATCCCCATGTATTCGTCTCCCAGCTTCAACACTTATCAACTCACGGCTGATCTTATTTTTACATTACCAACTCACGGCTGGTCTTATTTTTACATTACCAACTCACGGCTGGTCTTATTTTTACATTACCAACTCACGGCTGGTCTTATTTTTATGTACCTATTTATTCCCCTTCTTCATAGAATTTTTTTTAAACAGATTTTTTGAATGTAATTTATATACTATACAATTCATCCGATTAGGGCTGGCCAGTTAGCTCAGTTGGTTAGAGCACGGCCTTGTAACAACAAGGTCAAGGGTTTGGTTCCCAGAACGGGCCAGCCACTAAAAAAAAAAAAAATTCATCCATTTAAAGTGTACAATTCAGGCCAGCCGATGAGTTCAGTTGGTTAGAGCATGGTGTTATAACACCAAGGCCAAGGGGTTGGATCCTCTCACCAGCCAGCTGCAAAAAAAAGTGTACAATTCAATGTTTTTAGTATATTCATCATATTATGCAACCATCACCACAATCTAATTTTCAAACATGTTCATCTCTGTCTTAAAGAAAAATCATACCCGTGAGCAGTCAATCCCTTTCCTAACCCCTCCCCCAGCCCTAAATAACCACTAATCTATTTTATATCTCTATCATTTTGCTGATCCTGTACATTTTCATATGCATGGAATAATAAAATGTGTGATCTTCTGTGGGCTGGCTTCTCTCACTTAGCTTAAGAATTCAAGGTTCATTCAGATATCAGTACTTCATTTCTTTTTATTACTGAATAACATCCCACAATTTGAATATACCATATTTTATTTATCCATTTATCAGTTGATGGACATAGGGTTGTTTCCACATTTTTGGCTATCATGAATAATGCTGCTATAAACATTTGTG